GGTGGATGCGAGGCCATGTGCACTGGGACACATAGGCCCAGAGCAAGGAGAAAGCAGTCCTGTCCCTGCGATTCAGGATGAATTTTCGGGGTTTGTACACATCTCAAGCTCATTCTTGCTCCTGACCAGTTCCCCCAGTCTCATGGCCTTCTGGGCCCCACACAGCCATTGCCATCTCAAAATCAGAGTAGAGCCCCCAAGCCTGTCCCAGAACCTGGGCCCACTAATGCCCCCTCCCATCAGGGCAGTGGCGAGGTTTGGGGACCCAGGCACTCTCCTTGCCGTGCCCCCAGCTACACATGGTCTTCTCGTGGTCTCTGGAGCCCTGCAGTAAGAGCAGGTAGAAGGCTGACTAGGGGGTTTTCACCTGTGCTGGGGTGGGACTCTTCCATAAGGTGGCTATGTGGGGTTGCCCACCCTCCCGTAGGTGAGTCCAGCAAACCCATTGGTTCATGACTTGGACTGGGAGGAATTGTTTGGTTTTGTCTGTCATGTGTTCTCTCTCAGTCAGGCTCCATTTGGGACGAACAAGTGCGTATCATATTTGTCGAATGAAGCTCAATGTGGGATTCTCGGTGCTAAGAAGGATATAAAAAGAAGGGTGAGATGAACAGTGCCTGGAGACTGCAAACCTCTTTAGAGAGGGTGGGCAGAAGGTGACATTTGAGCTGAGCTCTGTCTGAAGGACAAAGAGGGAAAACCTAAAGTGATTTGGGGTTGTGGGTGTAGCTCAGTGGATAGAGAGCTCGCCTAGCACGCCTGGGGTCCTGGGGCTCATTTCCAGCACCTTATAAACTAGGGGTGATAGCACACACCTGCAGTCTCAGCACTCAGGTGGAGGCAGGAAGATTAGATCTTGGGGTCATCCTCAGCTATACAGCAAGTCTGAATCTGAAGCCAGCATGGACTATGAGAGAGGAAAAAAGAGAGGGAGGAAGGCAAGGAGGAAGGGAGGGAGGTAAAAAGAGAGGGAATGAGGGAGAAAGGGAGGAGGAAGAGAGAAAGAGAGAGAGAAGTAACTTCAAAAGCAAAGGCTGAGGCAGGCATGAACGTGGCCTGTTGCGGGAGCAGTGTGCACAAGGGCCCTGTGAGGTGGGATGGTGCTGGCCTCAAGCCTAAACTTTGGATCACACTCTGGGTGTCCAGGAAGTTAACAAAGAAGTTAAACTATCAGATCAGTATTCAGGTGACCTCTCTGAGACTACAAAGAATGATCTATAAGATCAAAGCAAGGAGAGTATTTGGAAAGACTCACATAGTGGCCAAGGCCAGAGCTGGTGAGGCTTATCTGGGATGGGGACCTCAAAACGTGACAGAGGGACCATGAACCATTGCAGGATATTTGATGACACTGGGAATCCTGAGACTGTGCTGTTTACTGGAAAAACCTGTTTCTAATTGTGGTGTGGCTCAGCCCTAGCACACACCTTTAATCTAAAAGCTTTCTGCTTGAATTGAATGAAATCAACCATAGGTCAAGAGGCTTAGCAAGCAACCAGCTGACAGGGAGCAAACACAGGAAAAAACAGAGAGCGTAAAGGGAAGTCAGGAGGGCAGATGAGAAACACAGAAAGTAAAAGGAGGGACATTTAATCTGAGGGGTGTTTTTGGAGAGGGGGAGCTTTCTTTCCCTTCTCGAGCTTTGCCTGAGAAGGAAGGCCAGCTGGGAGCTTTCTCTGCCTCTCTGAGCTAGCAGGCTTTCACCCCACAACACAATCCTAACTCCAGGAGCTGCTCCAGGCTGCAGTGTGGAGGGTGGTGTGCCTGGAAGCCTGCCTGTGCCAGGAAAGAGCCAGGGCTCCGATACAGCCGAGACCATGCCCTGCCCTGGAGAGAGCTGTTCCCCCAGGCTATCAAATTACCCACAGTGCTGTCCCCACCTGGCCTCCTCCAAGGCTGCCTGTGTGAGGCGTTCCACAGTGCCCTTGGAGGACTCCCTCCCTGCCTTGATTTTGGGTCCTTGCACTAGAGAGGAGCACAGCAGGCCTGGGTTGAGCCAGGTTTCGGACCTGAGCCTTAAGGCCCTGGCAGAGTCTACTTCCTGTCTCCGGGGGCGTTTGCCCTGGGAACGCAGCCAGAACACGGAAAGCTGAGGCCTCTCGGACCTGAGGTGCCTGCCGACAGCTGCACTCGCTACCCCCGAGCTGAGAGCCAGCTTCACCTGTCTTGGTTGGGAGCGGAGATGAGCTGACCCCACCCCGGCCCTGCCCAGACAGCAGATCTGCGTGAATAAGCGGCTCCTACCATGTAGGCCACCAAGACTGGCTGTGCGGCGGGGTAATGGTGTGTGGCCTGTTGCCCTTCTCTGGTGCTTACAGACTTGTCACCTTTCTATCTTCTTCGCTGCCTCTGCCAACCGACATGCATGACACCCTCTCGGTGTCCTCCCAACTATTTTCATGGTTACAGCCTCCCGAAGAACCCTGGAACATGACTGTGCTGGTTAATTTTTGCCCCCCTGGCTGCGTAGCCCTGGCTGTCCTGGAACTCACTTCATAGACCAGGCTGGCCTCAAACTCACAGAGATCTTCCTGCCTCTGCTTCCCAAGTGCCGGGATTAAAGGTGTGCACCCAGTGTTGTGGGGGTTAGTTTTGATTGTCTATTTAGGTGGATTCAAGTCGTCTATGCCCAGGTTTAGTGAGGTGCACCTTTGGGTGTGTCTGTGCATTCATTTCCAGAAAGGACTGGCGGAGCGGGAAAGGCTGCCTCAATATGGGAAGCCCTATGCTAGGGTCTAGGCTCAAGGACTGAAGAAAAGGGGTAAAGAAGAAAGCCAGCTGAGGTTTTCCCCTTTCTCTGCCTCCTGGTCCATAAAAATGTGGGCCATGCCTTCCCAGACACAAAAGACTGAGTCCTCTGAACTGTGAGCCAAATGAACTAGTCAGAAATGCAGGTTGAGCCCAGACCCAAGAAACCAAAAACTCTGGGGCAGGGCCCAGCAGCCTTTAAAATTCTTGTTTTAAAGTGTGTGTGGGTCTCCACATGGTGTGGAGGCTAGAGGGCACCTCAAGGAAGTTCATTTTCTCCTACCAGGTCCTCAGGATTGGTGGCAAGTGCCTTTACCTGCTGAGCCACGGTGTCAGCCCCCAGCAGCCCATTTTACAAGCCCTGCAGCCAATTCTGATTCAATTCAAGACCCACCCCACTCTAAGGCTCAGGTCAGATTCTAGACTTGATCTCCTCCCAGCCTGAGTTCTTTTCTTGAAGAAGCCTGTGTGTGTGTGTGGACTGAGGTCTGTGCAGCTAGCTCACGGATGATCCTTTTCCCCACGGACTCCGAACGCAGAGGGTACAGCTTAAAAACAAACAAACAAACAAACAAACAAACAAAAGTGCTGGAACTGGAACCCAGGGCTGCTTGGCTCCACCCACACATTTGGTGCCCATTGCTGCATGCCAGTACGTAGGGAGGGACTGACAGGCTAGGGGACCGTGGCCCTGTGCCTGCCCAGTAGCTTCTCTGAGGGAGGTCAGGAGGGGTCTCTACAAGGTAGGGGGCCTGCGGGTACCAAACCCTCCAAATTCTCAAGACAAAGCAGGAATGTGGCTTTTAGTAGAAAAGCCTCCCCAGGCCCTAAACGCTAGCAAATGGTTCCCCTTTTGTTTTGTGGAGGGTCTCTCACAGCTCAGGCTGGCCTTGAACTCCCGATCCCCTTGCCTCTACTTCCCAGATGCTGGGATTACAGACATGCTCCGTTCAGTGGTTACTCCTTTACAAAACTCAGCTGCTCAGAGAGCAGATAAACACCACCAGATAACACTGAGGCACAAAGGGAAGGTGAGGGTGGAATGGGGCGTGCTCACGAGGGGGCAGGTGCCATGTAAATGTCGCCACCTCTGTCTTCCTGCTGCTCCAAACCCAGGCTTTCCTTAGTAGGTCCCTAATGCCCTAAGGGTCACCGACTCCAAGTGGTGATCCTTACTTTCAATTCTCCGAGACCCACCCACTGCCTGCCGAGGGCAGGTTTTTGTTGTTGTTTTGTTTTTTGACACATCTGTGAGAGAGACGCTCACCTTCCAATTGAAGGATTCTGGGAAGTCTTTACCCAGCACCAACTCCTCCACCCACCTGTCTGCCCAGCTGGGACTGGGTTCTCTGGTGCATTTTAAAAACAAGGGGCTGTGGGCTTTTGGTTGCTGATGGAGCCCTGAGCGTTGTCATGGCTGCTCCTGGTCCCGTGAGTCTACCCATCTGCCTAGCCCATAGCCAATGACTAGCTGGGGTGGAAAAGTGGGGGCAGGGCTCAGCCAGAACCAGAACTTTCAAATCACTTTTTTCTTGTTGCTGTGAATGTTTTGGTTTGGCTCTTGAGACAGGATTTCTCTGTGTAGCCCTGGCTGTCCTGGAACTCACTCTCTAGACCAGGCTGGCCTCCAACTCAGTGTTCTGTCTGCCTGTGCCCCGGAGTGCTGGGATTACAAGCGTGTGGCACCACTGTCCGGCACAGCTCACTCTTCCCGCTGTCTCTGTCAGACGGTCAAATCTGCGGATGGAGGGCAGACAAGCAAGGAGGAGGTGGAGAAAGAAGAGCCATCAAAAGCAGCTGCGAAGGTTCTGTCTGGAGAAGCCAAGAACCCCCCTGGACCCCTGACTCCTGGGAGGAAGGGCCACAGAGAATGCCCACTTGAGGTCCTGAAGGAGCTCCACCCCCTGCAGTCCAGGTAGGGAGGCTGCACAGGGACACAGTCCTGCTGCGAGCCCAGCCTTCTGTGACCCCTGACCCGCCCTCCCCTTGGCGGACCTATCCCTGCAGAGGCAGTTTAAACCTGCTCACCAGCCCGGAGGGGTCACTGACCCCCACACCCGGGGACTGAAGCCCGGTTCTCACCCCCCCCCCCCCCGCTTTACTGGTGTTAGCCCAGGCGCTGCAGGCTATCAATCTGCAGCTCCTCACCTGCCCCTCCCTCACCAGGTGGGTTCTGTGGTTCTTCAAGAGTGACCGAGGCCGGGCCTGGCAGGACAATCTGCAGCTAGTTACCACGTTTAGCACTGTGGAGGACTTCTGGGCGTGAGTGTGTGCCTTCGGGAGCTCTGAGTGGGGGGTCAAAGGCACCCTAGCCCACCACCTTCTCAGGGGCGTGTCAACACTTACTGGGAGCTGGGGGTGGTAGGTTCTGGCCAGGCTGTGGCTACCCCCCTTGGAAGCTTCTCATGGTTTAGGGAGAGCCTGGGGCCTGGGAAAGCAGGAGTGAACCCTGCTACTCCAGTGCATGTGTGCGTGCACGTGCCCAGTGCCAGAGAGCTGAGAAGGGCCGCACTAACCCAGGAGGGAGGCCCAGCTGACATGCCCTAATGGCGTAGACTTCAGCAGGCTTTCTGGGGATGGGGTTTCCCTGAGAAGGGCCCTTGTGTGTGTGGAGTGGGTGGGAAGGCCCAGGGATGGTGGCGGAAGGTGGGTGTGTGAGGAGCTGGGAAGCCAGGGTCAGGCGAACCGTCTCGGCAAAGCCTTGGACCTCTGTGTGGGGCGGGATCTTTGCAGGACGTACAGCCACATCACGCTGGCCAGTAAGCTCTCTTCTGGCTGTGACTACGCCCTGTTCAAGGTAGGCTCTGCTCAAGGGGCTGATTCCAGGCTTTCCCCTCGTGGACAGCTGGGGTGTGGGCAGCTTGCTCAGGAGAGAAGAGCACCTCAAGGAAGGGGCCCAGGCCTGTGGCCTCACTTCTATTAAAACTAAACATGCAAGGTGGTGCGGGGGCTTTTCTATCACGTCCGGTCTCATCTGGGAGGTCCACCACTACCAGCATTTTAGAGATTTCAGCAGGTGTCTTCTGCCCAGCAAGGTGTGGGGACCACACAGCACTCCTGGGGTGTCTACCCCAGCCCACAGAAGCTCTGACCCAGAGACCCCTCACCCGGTTCGGGAAAGGTGACAAGCACACAGATAAGGTTGCAGAAGGTGGCAATAGTAAGCCTATGGGGTCTTGGAAAGAGGCCCGTGTGGGAGGCTTGTGTGGCCGCTGGTGGCGCCTGCTGTGCAGGTGAGAGAAGCAGGGCTGGTTAAGGCCCAGCACAGAGGCTATGTGCAGAAGGAGCTTGGTGCCCACTTCCCTTTAAACATACAGAGGCCATCGGCCTGCCCCTCCTTGCAGGAAGGCATCCAGCCCATGTGGGAAGACAACAGAAACAAGCGTGGGGGCCGCTGGCTGCTCAGCCTCGCCAAGCAGCAGCGGCACACCGAGCTGGACCGCCTGTGGCTGGAGACGGTGAGGAGGGCAGGAAGGGCAGGTGTGGGCCTGCGGGAGGCCAGTGGGCTCAAGGCTGGATCCTCGATGGAGCACTGAGCGGACCTCTCCCGGCTCCAGCTGCTGTGTCTGCTCGGGGAGAGCTTCGGGGAACACGGCCTAGAAGTGTGTGGAGCTGTTGTCAACATCCGCACCAAGGGGGACAAGATTGCCGTGTGGACGTGCGAAGCCGAGAACCAGGCGGCGGTGCTGTACATTGGGTGAGGGGCCCTCCTGGTCCTGGGGCTGCCGGGGCGGCCTCTGGGTCCCCCGTACCCTCTCCCTTCTTCCTTATCACCTGTATAAAAGGAGTCGGAATTTAGACCCCGACCTGGGAGTGTTCACTATTGGTACCGTGCAAGTAAGACACCAACCAGGTGAGGCTGACGCCAAGCCAGGGAGGTATGTGAGCCCAGGAGCTGGCCTAGGTCACATCTGCCGTCTTTGTCCTGTCTCGCCTCCAGGCATGTGTACAAAGAGCGCCTGGGCCTCTCTACGAAGACCATCATCGGCTATCAAGCCCATGCAGACACTGCTGCCAAGAGCAACTCTTTAGCCAAGAACAAGTTTGTGGTGTGAGGCTGAATGAGGCTTCAGCCATCATTCCTGGGCCTGTCTTACTGCTGTTCCATGCACGGGGAAGGCTGCACTGTGGACCAGGGCGGGGCTCCTGGGTGGGGCAGACAGCCGGGCTCTTGTCTTAGAACACACACCAGCACCGCCCCTTGGATAAGGTCTCACTATGCTGCCCAGGCTGACCTCTCATTTATGGGTTTAAGCCATCCTCCCGCCTCATCCCACATCACCGGGATTACAGGAACGCACAGTTGTGCCTGAATTCACAATGATTTTCGTCAGTGTTTGTTGGGTCCGGCCTTGTGGCAGATGGCCGGTACTGGTGAAGCGCATTCAGTCCCTAGCTCTGAATGCGGCCCTTTGGCGAAGGCAGAGTGAAGCAAAGTGCTGGCTCAACCCTACCAACAGAGGACAGGAGAATCCTGTGGCCAGCGCCTGTCTGTGCCTGCCTGGGAGGGGACTGGGCGGCCTGAGGCAGGCTCTTCTGTCTGGGAGAAGGGCTCCAGGCCACTGATATTAAGAGTTGGGGTCCAGTGCTCTGTGAGCACTGCTTAAAAGCTAATGGGTCAGACCTGCCGTTTGGGCGCCCATCCTAAACCCCGACCCTTCCCTAGACCAGCTGCGACCTGGTGCCCTCCCTACTACACCTGACTGCTGGAGCAGGTTAGAGGGAAGACACCGGCATTTGTTCAAAGACAGGTGGGCCCTGGGGACCGAGAATGCCCTGCGCAGCCTTGGCATCTGAACACAGTCCTGCGGGTTCTGACTCTCCTCCTGCCTTAGGGAGGGGCTGGGGAGAAGGGCAAACCTTAACACCATGAAGGGATTGCAGTGGTGGCTGGGCCTCACCGTGGGTTAGAACGGGTCCACTCAAGGTGAACGATGCTTCAGGGCCCATTTGTATCTGTCCTAAATAAATACTTTGGAACAAACTTGGAATTGAAATATTTAAGATCCAGGCTTCCCTGAACCTGGATTTGCACTGTCCTGCTTCAAAAGGACTCCGGTGAGTCCGAGGTACCAAGGAAACCAGAGAGAGCGCCAACTGGTACGGACAGGGGCTACAGTAGGAACAGGCAAACCGGAACAGTCATGGCACCCCAGCCCCGGGTCTTCGGGGCTCATGTTCAGTTCTGGTGTGTGTAGATGCATGGCGGTGGCCATTGCCGCCATCCCCAACTGCTCGATCCTGGCGATGGACTCCTCTGGAGGTCCAGGGCTTTCGCTCGGTCATCAGCTCTGCCTCTGTGCGACGGCAGGTGGGGGATAGAGATGAGGAGTGGGGGCGCCTCAGAGGTGGAGTTGCAGGAGGTTGGCTGTGACTGGGGTGTAGCCAAAGCGTGGCCCACAAGCAGGTTCTCGGGGAGGAGTGAGGGGCGCTGGGGAGAACGGATGGAAGCGCTGTCTGAGGCGTGGCTCCGAGGAGGCGGAACGAGGCTCAGAACGGAGGCTGAGTAGGGCGGAGCTCCGGGAGGACAGAGGCCAGTTGGGGGCGGGGTCTAGGGCAGATTGGAGGCGGGGCCCGGTTAGAAGGTGGGGCTAAGAGTAGAATCGTGGGCGGGGCGTGGGCGGGGCTGCGGTAGGACAAGCGCTTGGCACGGGCGGAACCTGGAAGGAATAAACCGGCTGGGGGCGGAGTCGCGGGTGTGAAATGGGTCTGAAATAGGGCGTGGGCGGAGCTTCGGGGAGACTGAGCCTTCTGGGGAGGGGCGTGGACTGGCCTTGTGGGCGGGGCCGGACGAAGGCTCCGCACTTGGGGCGCGGAGGTCCGAGCGCCGGGGCGGTGCCAGGCGGGCGGGGCTGCCGGCGCGCGGTGTGGCCTTGGCCATGAAGCCGCAGCCGCCAGGCTAGGCCCGGGGCGGCTCCAGGCCTGGGCGGCCCGCAGGGGGCTGGGCCGGTCTCCGGCTCGGTTCCCGGGGCGGCGGGTGGCCGCTCACCATGCCCGCCAAGCACCAGCATTTCCAGGACCCTGAGGTCGGCTGCTGCGGGAAATACTTCCTGTTTGGTTTCAACATTGTCTTCTGGGTGAGCGTGGGGTCCGCTTCTCTCCCTGTGCGGAGGGTGGGGTCTAGGGAGCCTCAGGTCCTGGTGCGGGAGACCCTCCTCAGGAGCTTGCGAACGAGGACTGTCCCTACCCCCTCCACCCCGGTGCCCACTCCCCAAGAACTACTCTGGGAAGCTGCTGGGATTGCTGGGGAGCGGGACCCAGTCCAAGCAGGGGCTTGTTGGGATCTCCCGTTGCAGCCCCAAGTTTGGGTGAAAAAGGGGGCGGTGTTTGCCGGAAGACTGCAGGGGCGCGGTAGTTGCGGGACTAGCCCCGCCCCGCCTCCTGGCCACTCCGGCTCCCAGCGTGGTGCGTGAGGTTCTCAGAATACCCAACAGACGCTCAGAAGCTTGAGAGCCAGGAGGGCAGGAAGTGGCAAAAGCCGAGGCCTCTGCCTCCTCAGGGAGAGGAGCTGCAGTTGAGAGCAGGGAGCTGTCCCTTGGGAACAGAATTCAGCATTCCACAGCTGACTGAACACAGGGCTCTCTCCCAGAGTGGCATCCGCGTCCTGGCCCTGCCAAGTCATCTTCTCTTCTCCCTCCCCCATCTTCTCGCCAAAGCGGGCTCTGCATGCTCTCCTTCACCCCAGGCCTTTCCAACTTGCATTCAGCAGGCACCGGCGCTCCCGCTCCGTCCCCCACCCACGAGCTGCTGTGTTCGCCCTGTGGTGGGTGTCCTTGGATCTCAGCAGTCTTCTGTTCTGGAGGGCGTGGGCCCCTGCAGGGAGCACTGGCCAGAGCTTTTAGGCAGGCCACTTTTACTCTCCCGGCCTTAGCAGTCCAGCCGAGGAGGGAGTGGTATTGGAGTTAGTCCTTCTGGGTCGTTAGAGTAAATGTGGGTTTTTGTTGTTGAGGCAGGGTCTCATTCTGTAGCCCATCCTGGCTTGGAATTCGCTCCAGTTTTCCTGTCTGAGCTTCCTAAGTGCTGGGATTACAGATGTAAGCTATCACATCCGGCTTCGTACTAAATGAGTTCTAATGAGGCACAATCGCCCAACTACTTTATTACTGTCTGTAGTTTGCAGATAGGGAGTTGAATGGCCAGACACGGAGAGGCTGTTTGTCTCTATCATGGTTGGTGGGCGGAGGTAAGGCAGGGCAGCAAGCTCAAGCAACCGTGAGGGAGGGGCAGATCTGAGAGTCCTGGCTTTGTTCCGGGGTCTGGGCACGTGGACAGAACCCTGATGCTCTGTGCTTGGGCCAGTCGGGCCTTAAGAGCAGAATTGGATCAGACCTAGCTGGCTGCAGTTGTGTGGAAGGGAGACAGAGGACCTGGAGATTGGGGGGGGGGGGGGGGGGACCTTGAATTCCTGATGTTCCACCTCCCAAGTGTGGGGATTATCCGTCTGCATCTGTCTGCTCAGTTCTACCTATGCCGACTGGACCCCAGCTGCAGGCTCTTCATCTGAGCAGCCTGTGCCCCCGTCACCTTCATCTTTCTCGATATCTTGCCTCAGTCCCTTGCTTGGAGAGCCTGATTGTCAAGGGCAGCCACGCTGTCACCCCTGACCCCAGGAAGACACACCATTAGAGGAAATACTATCAATAGCCCACCCCCACCCGCTCTTTCCTTCCCTGGTCCTGGGTTCTGTCCGCTGCTGTGTTCTCCCTGGAAATGCCTCCCTGTGCGGGCTGTGGGGGTGCACAGCCAAATATCCCTTCACCTGCCTCCTCCCTGAGCTTCCTCATCTTTGGACAAGAGACCAGCTAATGTTCTGTTTTCCCTAAACCCCTCCTTGTCCAGCCCAACCCCGTTCCTCCTCCTGCTCCCTTTCGAACCTCCCAGCCTCCTCCTCTGTCTCCCTCTGCCCCATCTTTGCTCTTCACCCTGGGTTTCAACCTTGGCCTCCCACCTCCTCTCCACAATCCCTTTCAGTTTGCTGGGACAGTGGCATGCTCTGGCTCCAGACCCTCACAACCACACCCCACCATCACTTTCTGTGTGAGGCACCCCAGCGTCTCAAGGACTGCTACTGAGCTCTGTGGGCATAGCAGAGAACAGGCTGGTCCTGCTCTCGGCCCTCATGTGGCTTACCCCTGCACAAAGGAAGTACTGAGCAAATAAACAGACATCCAGTGGGCTAGAGAGGGTAGTGGGCAGCTGGGGTTCTAGCGGCAAGGAGGAAGGAGAGGGAGAAAAGAGTTCCAGGTAGAGCATCAGACAAGCAAAGATCCCACGGTCATCTACAGCTGCATAGTGAGCTGAAGGCTAGCCTCGGCTGCTTTGAACCCTGTCTTGAAAAACCAAAACCCAAACAAAGGCATGAGAACCTGTGAAGCTGATGTTTTCTGAGCCTGCTGTGGCCTCGCAGCAGAATCCTGTTCTACACTGATAGAGCTCTTGAAGAGTCCAGGAAGGGGCTGATGTCCAGCCTGAGGCTTGAGGTTTGAGGCGGCTGCAGCTCCTCAGCTAGCCTGGGGGAGAAACTCCCTGAAAGGTGTTCTTGGTAGGTGCACCGACCGAGTTCACAGTGTTGGGGAGGCTCCTCCATCAGCTTCCTGATGGTCAAGGCTGGGTGTGGGGGGGTTGCGTAGGGGGTTTGGAAGAGCCCTGGAGCTGGTGGTGTCTGGCCTGAGCCCATGCTGCTTTTGCAGGTGCTGGGGGCCCTGTTCCTGGCCATCGGCCTCTGGGCCTGGGGTGAAAAGGTAAGAGAGGGGGCTGCCCAGGGCTGAGGTGGAAGGGTGGCCGCTCCCTCACACCCGTCTGCTTCCTGGTGTAGGGTGTGCTCTCCAACATCTCAGCACTGACAGATCTGGGCGGTCTTGACCCCGTGTGGCTGTTTGTAGTGGTTGGGGGTGTCATGTCGGTGCTGGGCTTCGCCGGCTGCATTGGGGCTCTCCGGGAGAACACCTTCCTGCTCAAGTTTGTAAGTCTCTTTGTACCTCAGCTCCACTGGAGACCCCTAACCTCTTTCTGCTCATTTCTTGCCTGGTCATGGTACCAGACAAGGAGCAGATAGAACCACACTGTCTTTTGCTCAGGCGCAGGGAGGAGGAGGAAGCTCA